GTTTAGGAATTGTATTTGGATTTTTTGAGTCATTATTTTGGTTTGATGTGACATTGTTGGTTTGATTCATTGTATATAGTGTCAATTTGTTAGGATTAGATGGTTTGGGTTTGTTAATAGGAGCCCGATAGTTGTGGAATTGTGTCGGTTGGAATCTTTGGTAAAGTTGTTGTGTTTGCCAGTCTCCAGAGGATGATCTTTTTTTACGACAATTTTGCGATTGGTGACTAGGTGTTTGGCAAATGAAGCAAAACTTTGAATTCGAGTCAGCCCAGATCAGTCTTTTTCTATCAAGATAGAAAGTCTCTCCATTTTTAGCGGCATCTATTGTCTCTTTGTCTTTGAAGTAGAAGATAGCATATTGAAGGTTGCAGTAGTTGGCACGTGATTTAGGGATGACCTAAGCTATATCCTCAATTGCATTACCGATCGAGATAAGGTGACGGCCGTTAGTGTCGAGAGGTAGGTTCGTGAGTTTAAGGGAAAATTGTGATTTTTTCCTGACATCTTCATTCAACATTGTACAAGGATGAACTTGAACAAGGTCTTTTAGAACGAAGTAGCTGTTAAGTTTATTCAGGATAGTCATATCTGTATTTTCTTCAAAGGTAATAGTAGCTTATTGCCATAAGTTTTTGGTAGACATCGTACATTTGGTGATCTTCCCGAAAAGGAAAATGTAGATCTCAAGTTTGATTCTGTAGTAGAGATCGGGATCTCAGTTACTCTGATCGATAAATCTGAAATGTATTTTGTGGCTGGTTTGGTAATCAGGGGTGAAAATGTGTTATTGTTCAAACAAGGAATTTTGAGGGTGACTGCATGATTGGCTTTATCGCACGAGGTAAAACCAATTTGGACAATTTTTTTGTTGGGGTCATCGGGTGAGTACGTACTGATGCATCAATAAAAGAGACATAATGTGATGCGAATATGTCACACGCCTCATTTTGTTTTTCTCGATTCGTTTTGGCTGGGAAGAAGCGTTCAGCGGCGCAGTAGGCAAAGTAAATAGGGGTTTCCGTTTCTCGTTCAAGGTGAATACCACTTGCTTTATTTTTGTCGTTATCAGGGCCGTTTTCAGTAGCATCAAAAGCTTGGTCGATATCTATCAGGGCTTTTGGAAAGGATGAGGAAGTTTCAGGTGTTTTTCCTTTGTCGCTACGTAAACAAGCGGTTGTGTCAAGTTCTATGTCAGAAGACGCGACATTTTCTGTAATATTTTTTGAAGACAAAGCTTCAGTTGTTTGAGGAAGTTCAATAAACTGTTTCTTAGTAGGTCATTGCTGTTGGTCGTTGTTAGGGGAAGAAGAGCGAGTCTTGTTAGACTTGTTGTTGTTATTGTTGTTTCCGTTTTTTTTTCTGGTCATATTGAAATTGGGGATCAGCGGAGAGTTTTTTTTTTTTTTTTATTTTTTTTCATCAAAATATTTTAAGCTTTCTAAAATGCTTTATAAACAATTTTATACTATAATTTAAGGGATAATAAAATAATTATTTAAATTTATATATATTAATAAACTTATATTTAAATACTTTATACATAAACTACATATAGTATTTGATTATCTTTAAAAAATAATAATAATCAAATTTGATACAATTCATATTAAACCTCATTTTTATTAAAAAAAAATATTACCTACTATCTAAATGAGTTTAAATGTCTATCCGCCAATACAGAATCTTTATTATGACAAAAGGAAACTTCAATTTCTTGAAATGGCTCCTTAAATGATATAACATATGAAGAATTTGCATCTTCAATTTTAATCACGTCTCTTAACCAATCAAAAAAATTATTTAAGAAATTTAAGCATATAGTTGCATCCCACATTTTATCTTTTCCTTTAACCATTCTTGGTATTTCTAAAGTTTTAAGTTCTTGTACTGCACGTAAGTTTCCATCATCATCTCTAAATCCAACAATTATTTTTGGTATACCAATAAGAAATGATTGTGCCCAGAATTTAATTAACTTAAATCTAAATTAAAATAATTAAGTTAATGTTATATTTTATAAAAAATTTAAGAATCAATTGAATTTTACACACCTTTCGAATACAAATTTATCCCTATCTGAATCAATAATTTTAGAAGTTTTCAATTCAATATATCTACCAACAGGATTTTCAGGATGTGGTGGTTTAATATCTATAAGACAATCAACCTCTGCGCCCATAATTAATTTCTTTGTTCCCAATGTTGTTTTAGCCACAGAACAATATTGTATATTCGTATTAACCACAGCATTTTTACGAGCTAATAATTCAGGATCATTTGGAGATTTAATTTCAGACGCAGGTACATTGATTGTACTTAAAGCTTCAAATCTATATCCCCAATACCCCATTAATTTAGCTCTTGGAGAATTTCCGGCATTGTTTCGTCGTGTATATTCCGTTTCATGTTCTTCAATGAAGCTGTAAAAATTCGATTAACAAAAAGTTTAATATTTTGATGAATGATAACAAAAGATAAATAATCGAGTAACTTACATTGTGTTCTAGAATTCAAAATGGTTAAATAAAAATAAAAATTTAAATACAAAGAATTTTTTAAAAAATAAACACATAAAAGTCGCGATTATTCTAACATTATATAATGTAGCTCCTAACTCCCAGGGCTCTTTCTTGTTATATGGAGCACATAGTAACTTTGTGAAAATTCCCCTCCAAGAGATCTATGCAAATAAAAAAAAGAAAACTTTAGATTAAGAGTTCATATTAGAATAAAATAGAATTAATTATAAAAATTTTGTAAGCTTACGATATCGGCTTTTATTACATCCTTATTGGCACTAGTTCTTTTCAAATGATTCAACGCATCCAATAAAGAATGAATTGGTTCAGGTCCTGAATTTTCCCTTTGAATAAAGTTTTCATAGCCAGCTGATAAATTAAAATCCTTCTCTAAATTAGGAGGATAATAATATCTCTATAAAAAAAGCTTTTGATAATTAATCACTTCTTTAAAGTAGTAGAATGCAAAAGTGACTAACTAATTTACCAGTTCTCTATCGTCCATATGTAATTGACGAGTTTCATCATGACTAAAACTAGTAATTTCTACAGGCTGTTTAAATTCAACACAGTTTGTATTAAATCTTTTCAGAGGATAGATGGGAAATTTATGAACCTTGGGAACAGGATTAGTCGTATTCATTTGCAACAATCTTGATTCCTTTTTTTATTGGTTAAAGCTGCTCTAAAATATGAGCAAAACCTCTTTTCACGTGATCAAAAATTAAAGAGAATGTTTTCTTGCAAATTTATGCATACTAAACTTTGTTCTTATTATGTTGTATCAATTTATTTTTAAAAGATTTATTAAAAAAAAATATAAATAAATTAACTTTTCAATATTTTATAGTAGGTAAATTAAAAGAGATCCTCGATCGGTGTTTAAGAATCACCAGCACCACTCGACTTCCAAGCACTCAGTATCAATTCAACGACCTGCGGAACTCCAACGTTATTTTTCACTTGGGTAAATAATGTTGGCCCATTCTCTCTATAAATAAGATATTTGTTTAGGAGCATGTAGATTTCAAAGGATGAGTAGATATTTTTCATTTATTTTTTTACCTCATTTTACGAGCATCTCTTTCCATCACTCCTAAATCTGCACCAACGATTTCTGCTAAATCAGTTTTGTTTATGATTAAAAGATCAGACTGTGTAATGCCTGGTCCTCCTTTCCTTGGAATTTTGTCTCCTCCTGCCACGTCAATGACTGTATGAAATGATGATGAATTAAATTTACGATGAAATAATTTCGACGCGTTTGTCACGTGATTTAACTTACCGTAGATGATATAATCCGCCAACTCTCGAGAATAATTGGCTACACAATCATTTGTAAATTAGTATGAACGTTATTCTAATTTCTATTTCCATCTATTTTATTCTCAACACGTACCAGCTAAATTATCACCCCCACTTTCGACAAGTAATAATTGAGCGTTAAATTTAGCATGTAATTCTTCCAGAGCACCTAAATTAGCGGAAATATCTTCTCTAATAGCGGCGTGTGGACACCCGCCAGTTTCTATCGCACGAATACGTTCAGCTGGTAAGGCATTGTTGCGAACTAGGAATTCCGTATCCTCTTTAGTAAAAATATCATTTGTCACCGCTGCAATGGAATATTGTTCTCTCAGAGCCTTGCATAATGCTAACATTAATGCCGTCTTTCCTGATCCAACAGGACTTTAAAGTGAAAATGTAAATTAATTCATTGATCGGAAAATGCTTTTTTTTTCTTTTTTTTTCCTCTCACTTACCCCCCAATTCCAACAGTAAAAGCTCGTTCTTTCCAGTTACGATTTCCGTATTTTGGTAATTCTCTTTCATTATAGTTACCAGGATTGTCTAATTGTTCATGAGTGTGTCCATGTTCTCCTACGCCATGATCGTGAGAATGTCCATGAGCACTACTTTTTGCTGAAGTCATATGATCTTCAAACTGGCAAACCTCCTTTTGTTCGGTAGACATTTTTTCTTTTCAAAAAAAAAAAAGTTTTTTCGAGGAAAAAAAAATTATAATTGCTCGATATTTAAGGATACATTCTAACGCGAAACATAATTTGTGGGGGATCAACCAATTCGATAATCTTTTTCTGGCATAACCATTCCGAAATGGGTTGCCATAAATTTAACAAGATCAACTAAAATCTTAACTTTGTTTATCAATTTACACCGAGATCTTCCCACGAATTTAAAATCTCGACCTTATCAATGTTAGGACACATGTGTTTGAAATTTCCGATACAGTTAATTTACCTTTTCTTATGAAATTAACCCGAAAATCGCATCACATATTTGTCCTTTCTATTGGGGCGATAATCGGTTTAAGTACCCCAATTAAATCAAATAAATTCAATTTCTTTTGAAAAGTTTTTTTTTTTTTACTTTTTCACCAAGGTGTTTTTACATTTTCTCACTTTTTTTTAACGAAACCTGCAATAATGAGATTAATACCAAGAGAATTAGATAAACTTGTTCTCCATCAAGTTGGTTATTTAGCTCAAAAACGCTTAGCTCGTGGAGTTAAGTTAAACCATACCGAAGCAGCAGCTTTAATTGCTTCACAATTAATTGAAATGATGAGAGATGGAACGAATACTGTTGCGCAATTGATGAATACGGGAAAGCAAATGTTGGGTAGACGTCATGTTCAGCCCGACGTTTTAGAAACATTGTCTGAAGTTCAAGTGGAAGGAACCTTTCCCGATGGATCTTATCTTGTAACTGTTCATGACCCAATTTCCTCTGATGATGGGAATTTAGAATTGGCTCTTTATGGAAGTTTCTTACCAATACCTGATAATTCTAAATTTGTCTTACAAACTGTTGAAGCGAAGGCTGAAGATGCACCTGGTGCTCTCGTTGTTAAACCTGGTAAGATTGTTTTAAATGAAGGAAGAGCTAGAGCAAGCCTTAAAGTTGTTAATACCGGGGATAGACCCATACAGGTAACAAAAAAAAAATCTATTATAACACGTGAATTCTGTTAGCCAATAGAAAATAAATCCGCAATTATTCACGTTAAAATATTGTTTTCCTATCCCATTTCTCAATGATTAATAGGTTGGATCTCATTACCACTTCATTGAAACAAATCCTGCTCTTAGTTTTGATAGACATTTATCTTATGGCAAAAGACTTGATATTCCAGCTGGTTCCGCAGTACGTTTCGAACCGGGTGAAACAAAAACCGTCACACTTGTCGATATCGGTGGGAAAAAATGTATTTCCGGAGGAAACAATGTTGCCACCGGAGTCGTTGATGCTTCGAAAATCGACAAAATCGTTAAAAATCTTATCGTTAAAGGCTTCAAGCATGCTTCACTGACGGACAAATCATCTTTAGCTTGTACTCCTTATTCAATGGATCGAAAAGCCTATGCTGATACTTATGGACCAACCGTTGGTGATCAATTAAGATTAGGAAATACCAATTTATGGTTAGAAATTGAAAAGGACCATACGATTTATGGTGATGAATGCAAATTCGGTGGTGGTAAAGTTTTAAGAGAAGGAATGGGTCAGGCTACTTCGATATCTTCTGATGATGCCTTAGATTTGGTTATCACAAACGCTATAATTATTGATTATACCGGCATTGTTAAGGTGATTATCAAATACGACATAATTTTCTAATAAAATTTACTAACATGTTTATGATTTCAGGCCGACATTGGTATCAAAAACGGTGTAATCGTTGGGATAGGTAAAGCTGGTAATCCTGATGTGATGGAAGGTGTTACTCCTGGTCTTATTGTTGGTCCTTCTACAGAAGCACTTGCCGGTGAAGGTCGCATATTTACGGCCGGTGCAATTGATGCTCACGTTCATTTCATTTGTCCACAACTTATTCCAGAGGTTTGATTTTTAAAAAATAACTCCTTTCATTCTTTCTATACTTCAAGTGCTCTTTAACCTTAATTCCTACATCTTGTAGGCTATCTCATCAGGTATTACGACTTTGGTCGGAGGAGGTACTGGTCCAAATACTGGTACAAATGCCACAACTTGCACGCCAGGAAAATCACATATCGAGATGATGCTTACCGCTACCGATGGTATCCCAATGAATTTTGCTTTCACCGGTAAAGGAAATGCATCGGACCCTATTGCATTAAGTGAACAAATTAAAGCTGGTGCTGCAGGATTAAAATTACATGAGGATTGGGGTACAACTCCAGCAGCAATTGACACTTGCCTGAGTGTCTGTGATGAATTTGATGTACAAGTAAGTTTTCCATATCTCGTGTAAAAATTTATTTACAAGAAACTCAACATTAAAAAATAAATATCCCTCATTCACTTACTTAACTTAGGTGACTATTCACACTGATACACTTAATGAGTCTGGTTTCGTGGAAAATTCAATTGCAGCCTTCAAAGACCGAACAATCCATGCATACCATTCAGAAGGTGCGGGAGGAGGTCATGCTCCAGATATTATCAAAGTGTGCGGTGAACCAAATATAATTCCATCATCCACAAATCCAACTCGACCCTTCACTGCAAATACACTTGATGAACACGTAGATATGTTGATGGTATGTCATCATTTAGATAAAAATATACCTGAAGACATAGCATTCGCGGAATCACGTATACGAGCCGAAACCATTGCAGCAGAAGATGTTTTACATGACCTTGGCGCTATTAGCATTATAAGTTCTGATTCTCAAGCTATGGGCAGAATTGGTGAAGTTGTATTAAGAACTTGGAAGACAGCTCATAAGATGAAATTACAAAGAGGAAGATTAGGAGATGACAATGATGGTCCAGCCGATAATTTCCGAATTAAGAGATATATTGCCAAATACACCATCAATCCGTAAGTAGAAATTTTAATTGATATCTATATATATTATTAGCATTTTTATTTACATTTTTTTTTTTATAATCATAATCATTATAGAGCTATAGCAACTGGCGTAAGTCATTTAATTGGATCTATAGAACCGGGAAAAGTTGCAGATTTAGTAATGTTTAATCCAGCATTCTTTGGATCAAAACCTGAAATTATTATTAAATCTGGTATAATTATTTGGTCACAAATGGGAGATGCAAATGCATCAATTCCAACTACACAACCTGTCATTTCAAGACCAATGTTCGGTCACTTTGCTAGTGCGGCAGCAAAGAATTCGATTTCTTTTGTTAGTCAAGTATCCATCAAAGAAGGAAATGTTCAAAAATATGGTTTGAAGAAACGTATTGAAGTAGTAAGGAAATGTAGGGGTATCGGCAAGAAAGATATGAAATTAAATGATTCTTTACCTAAAATTGAAGTTGATCCCGAAACTTACGTTGTAAAAGCAGATGGTGTTGTCTGTACTTGTGAACCTATTCCAAAATTACCTTTAACCCAAACTGTGTATTTGTTTTAAAAAAAAATATATTTGTCGACACGTTCCTAGTTTAATAAGCTAACATGCTTATATTTATTTATATTGAAAAAAAAATCTTATTAAGAAGTTTCGTTATTCATTAAAACAAAAAAATTATTTATTGTTACATTAATATTACAAATTTACTTTCGAAAAAAAATGCAAATACTTTGACAGTATCTGTGGATACATACCCAGTTTTAAAACCTTTACAAATTCTCCGAGTAAATTGGTCATATCATAGTAAATGATATCATTGATTTATTTTTTAAAATATAAAACTTTTACTTATATTATTTCATTATATATTCAATCATGCTTGGCCAATTAACACTCGATCATAGTAACTTTCGCATATTGCTATTCCTCTTGATAACACAATGCTTTCAAAATTCGATCATATCCTGAACGAATAAAGAGGACACAGATGATAAATCAAGGTTGAAAATTAAATCAGTTCTATTTGATCGGACCTGCGTGAATACCTGGGGATTTCTCTTTCGACCTTTGGAATTATTGTATGCTATTCAAATTCATTTTTTAGACATTGAAGAATTTGAAATTTCCCATTAGGTTTTAAAATTTCTTTGGATTGATTTGTAAGAAAGGATATTGAAAATCATACTTATCCTTGAGAAGTAATACTAATGAATGACAAATTATAAAATGTAGAGTCAAAAAAGTATAAAGAAATATAAGAAAGTTTTATCTTCTATATTCTCAACAAATACATGATATTTTTTTTTGTTAATCTTTATTGTTAAGACATATTTTAAAGAGTCTAACAATATCATTAGCTGTAAATATTCAGAAGATCATAATCTTTTTAATTATAAATTCTCAATATATAATGCAACTATAGAATCCATCTCTGAGATCTCCAAGTTTCCATAATGATTATTATTTTATTTTATTTTAATAATATCTGTAACATATCTAGAAGAATTAATTTTAGCTAAAAGTGTAAATGTCATAGAATTATTAAGCTTATGATCTTTTAGTTTTGTCATGAAAATATCAGTAAGATTATTTCTGTTCTAGTAACTTATCCTTATTAAAATTTTAGCAAATCCTTACATAATAATATTTTAGATGGTCAAGTTAATTTAATTAGATAAATTATCTAAATTTGTTTTATCAAATCGAGTCAGTCTAATTAAACGTTAAGTGATTTATTATTAAGATCCTTTTTTCTCCCCTATTGAAAATCATGAAAATAGGTCACCGTTTTCATCAAGTCAAGTTTGAATTATGAGGAGTGATAAGACACAAAAGGGCATGAATCAAACAGCATGGTTGGTATTTACGCGATGGTCAGCTGTTTTTTGTAGTCTTCAAAAAGATTATTGTCGAATTAGTGCCTGATTTTCCTAGAAACTTACCATTTGTGCGATTTGTACTTGATTTAAATATCACATTTTAAGTGATGTGACTTTTCAATATTGCACATCACCTTTTAGTTTAGAACCGCTAAGAAGCGAAATTATTTTCTCATGTACCGATTATCAATATACGATACTCAATTCTCGGAGGAAGCAGCAGGTTTTGATTTTTCCCAGCTCTATGACCTTTTTTATATAACTTATAATGCCAATCAAAAAGTTTAACTATAAATATAATAAATATTTTTAAAAAAAATAGTTCTTAAACACTATGGACTTGATAACCTCAATCCTGATCACTGGGAAGAAGAAGACAACCGAAAGTCTTTAAGATATTCTATTAGCGACTTTAGCAACAATATTACCCCTGGTGATGAAAGGAGTTGCGATGATGCCGATCCCCTTGGTTTAAAGCAGAATGTTTTTGGGTAAACCTATATGAAACATTGTTTAATTTGTTGACTTGTAGTATGGTTACCAAGTTTCAATTTATTCACATTCTTTAATTTTACCAAATTGATCAGTTACGGCTTAGATGAACATGATAAAGAAAGTAAATGTATTTATAATTTAAGAAAATTTGTTTTCCTTCTGATCGGTAACTATTTAATTATCTAATATTGTTCAATGCTTTTTTCTTTTTTTTTTAGAATCGCAAATAATTGTTGGAAAAAAAACCTTCAATTCAAAGCTTTTTTTACGCCAAGTACATAGCGACACTCCTTATGCGGATTTATTGAGAGGAGCAGATTTTTTAAGATATACTTTGGACCAAAAATCCGAAGCTCTTCGTAATTTAGTTCAAGATAATTTTGATAGATTCGTAAGTGCGAAAAACACCATAGATACTGTTTATGGCGAAATGAAAGCGAAGAGTTTGAATCCTGAAAGCGGTTATGGTGTTAATGTGTTGGATAATGCAATCTCCGGTATGGGTGTTTAAATGAAGTTTCAAAGATTCAGAAAAAAGAATTTAGGATATATTAACTTGGTCAATTTAAATAATTTAGATGCTTGTGATAGGGCGGAACAAGTTTTTGGACCGGTGTTAGCTAATAGAAGCAAAGCTGATAAAATACGTAGTACTTTGAGTGTATTAGAAAAGTACAAATATTTCTTTAATTTACCTAGCAGCCTTATGGAGTCTATGAAACAGGTATTTAGAAGGATATAAAATTATTTTTGTATCAATTAATGTTACAATCAATATTAATAATAAATTCTTTATAAAGCAAAAATACGATATGGTAATCAGAGATTATAAGAAAGGAAAGGTCGTATTAGATTCAACTATGGGAACAGAAGGAACTGATACTAATGGAGCAGCCTCAGAAAGAGAATATGATGAGACTGCCCTTTCTGCTCAATATAGGAAGGTCTTTGATAAAGTTTGGTTAGAAGTTGATAAGATCATGGAAGAGATGAAAGTTCAGTTATTCAAGCAATTAACCGAACCTTGGAGATCAATGGAAGAACAAGAAAAAACTATCAAGTAAGAATAATATTTAGAATAGTTATATTTCTTTAGTATATAGTTTTTGTAATATGATCATTTAATCTTTTAGTATACTTCTGGAGCTTGAAACAGTGGAGGACCCGGTATGGCATTATCTTGACAGTCAATATAAATTTATTATTGATCTTCTCAAGGAATCGTATCAAGAACAGTTAGATAAGATCCAAGGTTTGTCGCATTAAAAAAAGTTACATATAAATATGTATATGTATATATTTTAATAATTATTTCTTTTGAAATTTTAGCTTTAAAGAAATCATTTCCAGAAAATTATAGCAATAATAAGGAAATGGCGATTCGTCTCAAGAAATCTATTAGATGTGTCAACTTAAGGGATTTCGATTCCTTAATAGGTATGTGTTAAAAAATTTATATAAATTAGTGGTGCCGCCCGAAACAAACCAGAACTAAAAACAAAAAAGTTAGTAATGATTGCAAACCGAAACTAGTTTAGCTTAGGATAATTTAAAAACGTTTAGACAATCAAATTTATAATTAAAAAGAAAGAAATAATTTAATGTTGAAACTATATAGTTTAGGAATACATCTATAATATATTTGCATTTTTTATTTTATGAATATTAAGCTGGCAAAGAAATGGATGTACAAATGTGGAAGGCAATATTAGAGATTGTGAAATCATTATCGGATTTGCTCTTGAGATGCCTACCAGATTTTTGGAAATTAAGCAAATCTTTTATGGACGGAAAGTTTCAAAAGGTATTTCACATATTCTCTTGTAATTTAATTTGAGTTAGATTTTTTAAAAATTTTTTTTTTCCATTGAAGAGTCCCACAGTATTAAGTGCTAATAAGCGTAGACGCCAAGGAATGGATTTACGGAAGGTAGATCAATGCGAAAAAATGGCAAGTGGAGTAATCGAGCTTTACGCATCATTTTTATCGGAGTTATTTAGTCTGTCGCCAATATCTGATGAACCTAGCACGCCAGTTACTCCAATTTCTCCAATTACTTCCTATAAAAAGCCATCATTCGTTCCATCGCATTCAGATTCTGTGACTACTTGTTACTTTTTAACAAAGGTTCTTAAGGAAATGAATGAATGCGTAAATGATATTAATTCTATAAATATGGCATCTGATGCCTCTGGTACATTATCTACGTTAATGGATCAAACCAGGTGGTGTTTCATAGAAGTTATTTGTGAAACGTGGAATGCGGGTAAATATCTATTACGTTTCTTTGATAGATTTACGTATTATAATATTCTTTCTTATAAATTTTATTTTAGATGCAAAAAATTTCTTTTATCTTGAAGACTGGTCTCTTGACCAAGATAACCGTGAAATTACCAATTTCTTGCGGAACTTTCATATATTCCACAAGTATAATTCTCGCAGTGCTTACAAAATCGCAAGCCTAAATTATGTATCTGATAAAGAGGATAACGTAAGTCTAAAGGTTAAATATGATTGTATTTTATGATACTCTTTTATTTAAAAAATTTCTTTATAAAGAAGTCGAAAATACCCGAGAATTACTTCTATAAGATCAAAGAAGCTTTCCTTAATTCTATCTATGCTTACTTGGAAGGTTTAGTTCATCTTGTATTTACAGATTATACTCCACTTGAAACTGTCATCGAAAAAGAACCCACAGACATTATTCACAAAACAAGGATTGATCCATCTCAAATGGTTTGTTGTTGAATATCTCTTGTGATCTTTCCATTGCAAGATATTTATTATTATGTTCTTATCATAGGATTCAAGGATTTTGCTCACTATTAGTAATTTTTCCAATCTTAAACAATTAATGATACCAAGAATTGTATCCCAATTTGAAACCGCTTATAAATGCAATATGGTGGAAGATATTGAAGTAAACGTCTTAATTTTTAATATAAATCTTTGATATAAATTTTATTGTAATATTTAAACGTTTTTTTTTAGTCACTTAATACCGTTGTTGATCAACTTGATGGTATTTTGTTTGAGGATTATATAAAACGCAAATCTGCAAATGTTCGTGATATTATTACAAATGGTATTCTTTCAGGTGAAATTGATTGGTCAAACATATCTAAACCTACAGGTAAAGTATTCATATTTTTAAATTCTTAATTATCAAATAATAATAATTCTTATTAATTATTAACTAAATTATATCGATTTTTATTTAGAGGTGCATTCTTTTGTGTATGAAGCATTGTTATCACTCGTACTTGTTCATGCACAAATTAGTGATATCGCCAAACCATTAATTAATCGTGCACTAACAGTATTATTGGAATCTATGGCACATGATTGTCTTGAAGCTTTTTCAAAAGTAGAGAAATTTAGTTTAGGTGGAATGTGCCAGGTAAGATAAATCTTTTTTTTTTAAAGAAAAAGTAATAAGACTTTTTGATTCGGTTTTAATTTTTTTTTTTTGTGTTTAGGCAACGCTTGAAATTGAATTTATGAATCAAACATTGGCACAATATGTTTCCCCGCAAGCACAAGAAACATTACAACTTATTTATACAACAATTGAACAATTATATGATACTTCATCAGGGAATGGTAGATTAGATTCTGAATTAAGTAGTGTAAAACAATTTTTGATTGAAAGTAGAAAAAATACTAGTTTACAATTTATGTGCTTTAAAAAACCAAAATAATTAAATTATTATTTGTAAAAATACATTTTTATTCATAGATTAATTAATTTTAATTAATTATTTAAATTTCTTTTAATTTTGATTATAAAAATTATTTCTTATTTTAATAAATATTTATTTTTTTTTTTTAATATAAATATATTAAATAAGTAAAATTTCAAAAAAATTCTTTTTATATAGAAATAGAAATTAACTATAAATGTAAAAAAATCAATAAATTTTAAATTTATCATTTTATTATTATATATTATATATAGAATTTTATTTATTAATTTTAAATAAAAATGTAATATATAAAATAAGATATATTTTTATTATATTATTATTTTATAAAATAAATAAATTTTCAATAAATTAAAAAGAATAAATATTAGATAAAGTATTATATTTTTATAAATATATAAAAAAATTTTTAAAGTATAATTAAAGTATAATATTTTAATTAATTTTAGATATTTGATAGTTTATATATAAATTAATAAAAATAAGAATTATTTAAAAAATTTAATAGTAACAATATTAATTAAATATATAAATAAAAATTTGTTATTTTTAATTTTTTAATATTTATAATAAAAAAAAATAAGAAAGATAAAAATAAAAATTAATTTAAATTTAAAATTTTTATAAATATATTTTATATTACTTAAAAAATAAAAAATTTATAATATATATAAAATTTTAAAATTTTTAAATTTGCAACTATATATAATATTATATATTTGATAAAATTATCGTATTTTGTATATTATATAATAATATTTAAATTAAAAATTTTATAAATTACTAATAATAATTATTAATCTAATATTATAAGTATATTTATTATAAAAAATAAAATAATTATTTTATTAAATTATATAAACTTATTTTTAAATAAAATTAAAATACTAAACTAACTATTTTATAAATATAATTATTTAATCTTATTATAAAATTTTTTTTAAGAAAAAAAAATGGTTATAATAATTAAATATAAACTTAAAAATTTAAAATATAAAAAAATTTTTATATTGATAATTAATAATTATTTTAAAAAATTATTTATAATGTTAAAATAAAAAGAATTTAATAATTTTTTATAATAATTATTTAAATAAATATAAAATTATTACTTAAAAAAATAAATAAATTTAGTATTTTATCATATAAAAAAATTTTATTTTTTAAAGTATTATTATTATAAGCTTTTTATTATAAAAAAATTAAATTTTAAATTTATATATCTTATTATCTATTAATTTCAAAAATATAAAAATACTATTAATTAATAAGCCTTAATAAAATAAATCCAATAAATTGAATTTTATTTTTAAATAATTATTACATAATATATTATTTTTAAAAAATTGAAAAATTAAAAAATTAATATATATTAATAATTATTAATCTTAAAATTAAAAATATTATTATTAAATGTATTTTAATATAGCAAATCTAATAAATATTATTTTATTTTTTTATAATTATTAGATGTTAAAATATTTTAAGTTTTTTTTTATTTTAATGTGTAAGTTATAAATGAGAGAGTATAGAAATTTCTATTTAATAAGATCAAATAAAAATCAACCTTGCACTGTTCTAGACTAATATACCCTAAACTAATTTAAAATAGACTCAACTATCTAGTACTAGAAGTCTGATTACTATTAATTTAAATATTTGATCAATTAAAATCAAAGTAAAAAAATTTGTAGAATGAAGACAGAATAATAAAGAAATGAAAAGTGGGATTAGAAAAACCAGTGAATACAGTATTAATTTTTTATTTAATAAAAGATATATTATGATTAATCTTAAATGATTAAAGGTGGAATAGCAATCAATCCAAAAAGACTTAATCTTGGTATGTATAAAATGATAAGTTGAGAAAAGTAAACTAAGGATGAGTGATTTATTGTTTACTATTTGATATAACTACTTGTAGAGAGAAGATGGTACTATGTCTTTAATTAAATCTATAAAGTTAAAAGAAGAATAACTTAACTTTAGATTTCAAATATCCATGGATATAATATGTGAAATATCAAAGTAAAGATTAAGCTCAGTCAGATGTTAAGAGAAAAAAGTAATAATATCTAACATTATATTATTGATTTAGTATAAAGTTATTTGGTATAGCCAAACATGATCAAAAGTTTCCAAAATAATCAGATATTTAGAATAAAACTATGATAAATTATATAATTTAGAATAGCATTATTTGAATATCTCAAGTATCAGAAGGAGCTCTAATAAGAATTTGACTTCAAATTTGTAAACAAAGAAGGCTTTATATGATGTGATTAAGGTATTTTTATTGTTATTAAGAACAAAAGTAATGTAATCCAGTCCACATCAGGTGAGAAATATTTATGAAAATGTGAAAGTAATTAGATATTGTGAAAGTCAATAGATTTGAGAAGGTTTTTGATAAATTATCATAGTAGCGTAAGGATAACTTGATTATTATAATTAAAAGTATAATTATAATCTAATACTGATAATATAATGGTTGTAAAAGAACTTATTATTTTGACAAGTTGATCAATTTTATTATTATAGTAATCATCAGCATGTGCTTTAACTTTATATAGTATAATTATAATATTTCTGTCCTTAAGTAAGCAAAAGAGTAAACATTAAATTAGATAATAAGAAATTTTGAATGTGAGATTGTAAGTAGAAGCACATTTAAAGAAATAGTTCATTTTAAATAAGAGGAAATTGTAATTTGTGAAACTGTAAAATGTTAATACTAGCGTTAATCAATGAAACAAAAATTGCAGTCAAAATCACTACTAATTCTACTAAAGAAGAAGACAGTTGAGAAAGAGATAGAAAGGCATTAAAAAAGCAAAAAGGTTCTGAAAGATCAACTTATAACTAGGTAATCCCTATATGAGATGCTAAACTACTTAAATTAAAAAAAAAACTGTCAGTATAAAAAGAAAGATCAGTTAATTGTGAATATAAAATTGATAAATTATCTAGTTGAATTTTTATACCTAAAGTAAATATATTAAAAAAAAACAATTGTATTAGAAAAAGGAAAAAGTTTTATATTAAAGGTTAGATCTAAAAATACTTTGTATTTAAAAAGAACTATTTTAAAAATCATATAAGGGGACAGAAGACAAAGATAGCCAATATTACAGGTAGGTAATATACTCCCCGGTCAAAAGTATTGGACCAAAAAAAAAGTTATCGCAACTTTTAAATTTATGACTAATTTTAATTTTT